ACTCATAGTCTGTGGAATAAGATAAAGGAAATCACATAAAGGAAATCACAAATATAACTGGACACACATACTTGTTTGTTTTAAATATCAGGCCTCAGCTCAGATGTTTTAATAGTTAAAGAATAATTTGACTAAAGTGATATTTCAGAGCCTCCCTTCTAGACACTGCTCCAGTTCCTCAGGTAGGGTGTGCATCATGTGTTTTGTGTAGCACGGACACTATGATCATTCCCTGGTCTGCGCTCATTATCTGATGCCTGAGATGAGATGGCTGAAGTAGGCAAAGCTTCCTCTTACACACAGGTTATCATTGACTCGACCTAGTATGGTAGACTCCTGATGTTCATATTCCCCACCCATAGCCAGTTTTCCTGGGTATTCTGAAGTCTGAGATGGAAACTCCAGATCCATTAGATCACAGGCTTAGAAGTTCTAAAATGCAACATTATTTTTACTAAGTGAGTTTACTATGGTCAGCACAGGTTTCAAGGTAGAGGAATTCATTTTGACTTCTCGGTGAAAAGGCCATCAAGAAATGTGCAGCTATCTTTAGCTGACCATCCTTCATTATGCCTGATAAAAGGAATGATTTGTTACACTAAACAAAATTATTAATTTACTTTGAAAATGTCCCCTCTCCTTTTATGTGCTGTTACTCATCCCCTCCATTCATGCCTTCTCTGCTTTTCCCTCTTTACATTTATTCCACGTAATCAAACCAATGTTGTCATATAATGTTAGGGGTGGATATAAAAAAAGATTGCACCTAAATCAGATCCTTGAAAATCCATTTTTTTTTCATGTAGAGATTGCTATGATCTGAATGTATCTTGTCTAAAGTTCTGGTCTTGCCAGGACTAGCAGAACTAAAAGGTAGACCTACCAAGAGGTGACTAGATGTTGGTGACATGGCTCAGTGGGTCACACGCATGCTGTGCAAACTTGAGGATCAGATTTCAGATGTCCACCATCCACACAGAAGGCTGGGTATGAGGGTATGTGCCCATGACATCAGTGTCGGGAAGGCAAAGAGATGAGGATCCCCGAGGCTTGGTGGCAGGTCTGGTTGAATTAGTGAGCTCTAGCTCTGAGGGAGGAGGGATCTTGTTCAAACAGTAAGTTAGAAAGTGACTGAGGAAGACCCCTGCTGCCAACCTCTGGGCTTCACACACAGCACGCGCGCGCGCGCACGCACACACATACACACACACACACACACACACACACACACACACACACACACACAAGGTGATTATGTCAGGATGAAGACATGGGAATAAAACCTTTTTAGCAGAGGAGCCACACAGCAATTGCTCTCTCATCTAAGGAGCCAGCAGCCCTCCAGCCTGGAGCGAGCATCGGTCCCGCTATTCCATCTTAGGCTTCCTCATCTCCAGAGCATTGAAACGTCATTTCTGTGGATGACAAGTGACACACCCAAGCATGCTCTTGTGCAGTGTTGAGCCTAGAGATCATGTCTCTGTGACCAGTGATGAATCGTCTCCCAGCTGATGATAGAAACTGTTACGCCGGTGGTGGTGCTGCCTCCACCCTAGCTGCTTTTTTACAGTTCCAGTTTTCTTGGGTAGGAAGAGAGACCAAGACTGAGTGAACATTATTAGAATCAAAACTCATTTATATTCATTACTTTATATAATGACCAAAAAATCCATGAGCGGTAGATACACCATGACAGACACACTCACTGTACTACTTATACTTGGTGTGGTGAGACTATCTCCAGGAGCTATGTGACAGTTCAGAGTCCAAAAAACAGGGTCAAACCCCAATCTTCCTTTTTCTTAACACCTCTGCTCTTAACCATTTTTAAACTATGGCTCACAAGAGCATCCCATTTGTCTCTGTAAGTATGTGCTTTCTCAACACACACACATGCACACATACATACATGCAGGTGTGTGTATACACACATACATACATGTGCAATACACATATGTACATGTGCACATACATGCATATGCAATACATATGAACATGTGCATATACATGCATGCACATATATACTTGTGTACATGTATAGAAGCACACATGTGCACATGCATGTTCATATATGCATGCACATGCAAACATCCATACATGCACACACCCATATATGCATGCACACATATGCCATACACACATGTACACATATGTGTACATGCACACCCATGTACACACACGTATATGTATCATACACAGACGCTTTTATATGAGTAGATTGAGTCTTTCTCGCATATTTTTATGAGTATTTGTGCATTGCTATTTCTGTATTCAGTTTTGTTTCTCCATTCCATCACCCACACAGTCTTAGGAAAGGATGCTATGGGGAGGGGATCATTGTTTTCTTTCATGAAATCATTCACACACATCATACTCCTATGTCATATAAAAGGAAATATCTGTTGGGAATTCCATGCATCTCAGAGAACTAAAACCTTCCAGAAACTTAAAAAGCCATGAAAATCCCTTGTGTGAGCCTCCGGGGAGCCTGGATCCGTTTTAAAGTCCCCAGAGGGAACGATAATGTTCACCCCAATGAGGTCGGTAATTTCTCTCTGCATAGTTCTCACCTTGTTCATAGATTTCGCCTTCCTGTCTCCCTTTCTGCTTTTTCTTTATTTTCATTCACTCCTGTCGTCAAATTTATTAAACTGCCCACTGGTTAGAATGAAGGGTTTACTATTTGACCTGTAGGTTCTTCTTAAAATCCAATTCAGAACTGCTAAGAGTACTGTCATGGCCTGTGAAATCTATGGAAACTAGCCCTGTGCACTGTTAAGGAAACAGGATTACATTGGTTCTGATGGTAATAAACCAAATTTAGTTTGGTGCCTAATGGTTATTTTCCATTTTCAGAGTGCTTTTGTTTTCCTGACTATGATGAGTACTAGCTACTAGGTCTCCTCCGAGATAACATTGGCACACCTCCAATGCCATTCTAATTGGTTTTAAAAGACAAAACTTGCTTTCCTGAATAATTTGTTGAAGGAATTAGTTCTAAAATCTTATTATAACCCATTGCAACTTTGTCATTCAAGGAGAAGTCTAATTTTGGTAACTGGAAAACGTTTTAAATAATCTGACTAATACAAAGCATATATTCTTAAAGAGATAAGACTTTGCATTACAAAGCATTCTTATCATCATCCCTGGCTGTGAGGAAATCTTAGCAGCCCTTCTTAGGGCAGGAGGACTAATTGAGAAATCAGCCTTTCAGCAGCCCACGGTGATCAGCAGAGCACACAGTGCCTGTCTTTCCACTGCCAAAAGAGGGGAAATGGTGACATTGTCATTTCATTTCCAGAGGTGGAGAAAGAGTTCCGTAGACAAGCAAGGCCCCAGTGAAAACGTTAACATGCTGATCAGAAAAGTAGCTTACGACTACCCTAGTTTGTAACTGTTCCCTTAAGGCCGATATATAATATTTTTTTTCTGTGCCTAAAATCAGTAATGAGTTTTAATTTTAATTAGCTTATACCTTTCAAGGGAAAAGAGCATCATAAAATCTTATTCAAAAAGAAGATGAAATAGGTCAGCTCTGAGCTGGAGAAACAGCAGAGTTAGAAAAGTGTTTGCTGTGAATGCTCAAAGACCTGAGTTCAAATCCCTAGGTCCCATGTCAAAACACTAATAGAAGGCTGGGCCTTGTGGTGCCCCCATAACCCCAGCACTGTGCAAGTGGAGACAGAAGGATTCCTCAGACATTGTAGCCAACCAGGCTAGCAAAAATGGTCATCTGCAGGTTCATCAAAAGACCTTATCTCAAAAAATAAGGTGAATTGCTACTGTAGAAGACAACCAAGGCTATTTGGCCTCACACACATACACACACACACACACACACACACACACACACACACACACACACACACGTGTGCACACACATGCACAATCTAGGCAACCTCCAATTAATACCAAAACTAACATTTTTGTGTTAAATGTTAAACTTCTAGATTTTAGATATGTTGTATTCCATTTCATAATAGAAAGAGGTTTTTTTATTTTCTTAATATAACATTTTCATTTGCTCTTTGATGTTTACATACATGTATACAATATATTTTTATCTTATCTACACCCACTCCCCTCTCCAACTGCCCCCACATCAATATCCCCTTCTCAACACTGAAGAAAACTGGCTGGCTGTCTCTCAGCAGCCACCAACTACCAACTGGCTTGATCAGCTTAATTTCTCCATGTCCAATGACCCATGTGTGTGGTATTTTTAGCAACAGAGTCTTACCATCAAGTTCTATTGGGCAACCAAGAGCAAGGAAAACTGCCTGTATTGTTTGGGGATCTCTGGAACTCCTCTGGCCAACAATTCTATGGGAGGTAACCACATCTGGAACTGGGCTTTTGTTTGTTTGTTTGTTTGATAACTTATGGCTTGTGGGAGGAGCAATATCCCCATGAGTAAGGTAACTCCATTTATACTTCTACCTATCGATCTACCTATCTTTCTATCTATCTATCTGTCTATCTATCTTCTATCTATCTATCTATCTATCTATCTATCTATCTATCTATCATCAACAACAAACCAACCAACCAATCATCATTTTTCCCTGTATTTTATCTCTCCTCAATTTCTCTATTATATCTATCTGTCTGTCTGCCTGTCTATCTATCTATCTATCTCTGTATATATATATGGAAGCTTATAAAATAGATTTCCATATGGCTTTATCAAACAACATTAATATTAATTATCTTTCCTCCCACCCCTCTGGCCCTGCTCTCCTACACCTCTCCACCTTTCAACCATCCTCCTTCCATTGTTCCCATTTCCCACTTCATACCACTTGTGTTGTGTCCTTACTTCCTTAAGATTAGCCTGCACCAATGGCACCTTTCTTTCTACATATTTCTGGCTTTTTTTTTTTTTTTTTTTTTTTTTGGTTTTTCGAGACAGGGTTTCTCTGTGTAGTTTTGTGCCTTTCCTGGAACTCGCTTTGGAGATATTTCTGGCTTTTATAGACACTCCAAGCTAAGTACTTACAATTACATGGCAGGGGAGATACCATGATCACAAAGGTCTTTTTTCCCAGGGCCAGGCTTATCCATTGCATTCCTGACGTGTGCTGATCCCTGTGATTTCCACAAACGTGAGATACTCAACTGCATAATTGGTGGTAGTAGGGGACTGTGTTTGTGCTTTCATTTATATGAAACACACAAAATTCTAAAGACCCAAAGCCAGCATCTCCATATTGGAGAGAACTGGCAGCATTTGTTTTTCTGGGTGGCATTTTCTGTTTTTTTGGTTTTGTTGTTGTTGTTGTTCATTTGTTTGTTTTTGGTTTCTGTATTAGTTATTCTTCTGTTCCTGTGATAAGATACCATGATGACCAAGGCACCTTGGAAAAGGAAAGGCTTATTGGGGGCTTGCCTTTCCAGAGGGCTAGGAGCCCGTCACTATCATGATGGGGAAGCGTGACAGTAGGCAGCTCACATCTTAAACTATAAACAGGAAGCCGAGACAGAAAACTGAGAATAGCATGGTTTATAATCCTCAAAGCCTACCACAAGTGTCAGACTTCCATCAGCAAGGCCACACCTCCTAAGCCTACCCAAACAATGCCACGAACTGAGGACCAAGAATTCAAATACTTGAGTCTATGGGTGACATTTTCATTCAAACCATCACAGTTTAAAAGTGTTGTATGGAGGTTAATTAATTAAAATATTTGAAGAAAATATAATACTGAAAGGGAAGAGTTCAGTATAAATCCCTTGTTTATAAATAACAAGATTGAAAGCGTTGATCCTTCTGGCTTAGTTTCTAAAATCCCAAGTTTTTCAAAACATTGGCTGTGTCCTAAGTGGAGACATGAAGGGATGAAGGGGTCAAGTGCTAAGGTCAGACTTCCTAGAGTCATAGTTTATATCTGTCTTGTGTTGTGTGACCTTGGATGAGCTAACAACTCAGTATTTTCATTTCTTTATGTGGTAAGTACAACAGCGTTCTTCTGACCATTTTAGCTATTAACATTTAGATACATCGACTATTCAGTACAAAACTTACTACATAGAATTCAACAAACCTCAGCTGTAAATGATCAGTTATTATGATTGTTTGGGGATAAACATGTACTCTAGAGTTATTGCTGTTTAAATATAGTTATAGTTATTATGTCTTCAAATATACCTACAGTTTTTGTATGCCCTACTTCCAGAGGAGAAGCCTAATTGTCATTACCCTGAGAAGGTGGCTCTTTGTGGCCCAGTCTTAGCAGATAGGGTAGAGGAGAAACAATGGTGACCAGCTACTGAAAGTCTCACATGAAGCTGCTGGGCTCTGTCCTCTCTGATTACTCATTCTGGGGAAGCTAGCCGAGATGCCATTAGAAACAAACCTATGACACATCCATTTGGCTTCTTCATCTAGTTTGTGTCAGGCTTTCGGATGACTGTAACTCACTTCAGCATCTTAAGCTGTCAGAGCCTCATGAGCTGGCCTGCTGCAGAACAGCCCACCTTAGCTGTTCTGGAATTCCCCCACATACAGGAGACAATGTAGAGTACTGTTTGATGCCAAGATACAAAGTGGTAAAACATTAGGGACAATTAGATGGACAAGAAATCAACAACTAACATTGTCTCACTTGAATAACATAAAATCTGGACCAGGAGGATTAACCTTGACAGTACCAGGGCAGAGGCAGTGTGAGAAAGGAAGGGTGTGGTGTCCATGTGGACACTGTTCCCAGAACAGGGACTTATTACTAACCAGCTCCATTCACCCACACTACATGGATATCCTCTTTGATTTTTTTCTCCCCTTTTTCTTGTTTCAGTGTTTCTCACTTTATATTCTCCAATTGTATTCCTTGTGACCCTTTCTCTAGGCAGAGTCAGACATCCGTGACTTGAAAAGTGTGAACATAGCAAATACTTTGCTTTTTTTCCAGTTTTCAAGTAAAACTGAATCGAAAGCATTTACTTTTTTCAGATTGTAATTCATGCTTACTACCTATATTAAATTGGGAAAATGTAGAATATATTCAGGATATGGAGTGAAAAGCACTAAATACCTAACTACCCAGAGATAAACACTATTACTATTAATTTTCTTCTTTCCAGATTTTAAATAAAATCTCTATATGTGCACAAATCAATTTGGAGTTTAGATACCTCTGATTTTAAAATGCCTGCTGTGGTTCTCAGAATATTTTAAATTATTCTCAGATTATTTTAAATTTTTACACTCTTTTTCAAATAGAATATATATAATATATATATATATATATATTATATATAGTCATTATATTATGATCTGTGTAACATCTATTGTGGACCAGTTAATTCATCAGTGTTGGAGGGGTTGCTAATATAAAACCTTAAGTACAAATTATCTTTATGCATGTCAGTGTGTATTAAATTTTTTTTAACTGGTTTTCATGGAGACTAATTTTTTTTTAATTTTTGCCCATAATTTTCTACAAGAACGGCAACCCTCAGAATCCCTACTGTGATGGCATTGAAGGGGTCATGGAAGCTTATTATCGAAGTCTGAAATCTGTGCAGCTGTATGGGCCAACCAACTTTGCTCCTGTAATAAACCACGTAGCAAGGTAAGTAGAGAGTGGGAAATTTGCTTATGCTAGTGCAGGCTGATGTATTGGATCGTGCTTAAAACTACCCATCACTGCACCATAATTCTATGGTCAAGGAGTTTTTTTCTCATTGCCTCCGAGAGAGGTAGGAAGTAGATGCAGAGTGGTCCCCACCAAGTAATCAACAATACTTTATACAGAGAACTTTAGATCAGTTTCGAGTGAAGAGTCATGCAATAGGCTATGTTAGGACCTGTCCTTTTCAACCAAGGAAATCCTTCTCTTTGAAAAGAATACGTGAAAACAAACAAGAATGATGGCGATCGTAAAATGTTGGAGTCATTCATATCAATGTCAGGTCCTGTGGTGGCATAAAAATAATGAGACAATCCCATTAAGACAAGTGCTTTCTTTCTGTGATATATAGGGCACGTTCTTTCAACCTCTCTAAGGTTAATATAAAAGCTAATTTTATAAATTCCCAGAAGTCTGCTGGTATATAGTACACAGGCCTGAGAGGAGAATTTGCTGATGACTCAGACTGCACGTTCTGGAGAAAATGTTAAAACATAAACTCTATTTATACATATTGATGTTTCATTCATACATAAATGGATAAGATACCACTTTACAAATCCCTGAAAAAAAAAAAAACTGGCTTCATGTTAGTGGAAAATCCTATAAAACTCTGTCATAGTTTGAAATTGGCTAAGGAGGTCCAGTCCTATACCTTTTTGAATATACAGTTAGAAATAGAAATTAGTCTGCATTCAATATAAAAAAGCAATATAAGACCTAGATACTTAGAACATTCTGGTGTTATACATTCTCCCTGTTGGATGTGACCATAAACTCAGTGTGTTCTCCTTTGCATGGCATGGCATGTGGAAGTCTGTGAAACTGTCCTGGCAGTCAGGGTGACCTCAGGATGACAAAGATGTAGGAGGTCACTTCTCTATGGTGACTCTTGGTTTTTGATTTCTCAAATATGTCCTTCTATAATTTATGCTAGCGTATGAATTCTGAATCTCAACATTATTTATTCATAACAACAAACATGATTTTTGATAGATGACATTTAATTTTGCCTCCTTTTCTCTCTCTTTCTCTATGGTGTGCTGTTCTCTCTGTCCCCAAGACATTCATTTCACTATCAGCTATTTGGTCACTGTTTATAAGTCGAAAAATCATATTGACTTTGTAAGTTTCCTACAGGAGAAATGTTTTGTTTTAAACCGTTCTAGTTTATTGATGGCTGCCAAGAAAAACAGGATCAAAACCACATTAATGCAGAACAGTTCTACAACTACCATACACATCACTTTTTAATAAGAGACACATAAAAGAAAAACGACAGAACCTATTTTGTATGGATTCATGCCCATTGTTTTAAATATGCTAATCAGTACTTATGAATCAATTCTGTTTGTTGTCCCAGTACTATAAAAGTTAAATTTATATAGAAATTTTCTATATGCTTTTTTATTTCTATTTAAAGCATAGTATTGGACATGGGCGGGGGGGGGGCGGGATGTAAAGTGCGTGCTGTGCACATATGTAGACCTGAGTTCTAATCTCTAGAACCCAGACTTAGTGACCCATGTCTACAGTCCCAGTGCTGAGGGTGGGATGGAGAGACAAATAGATGCCCAGAGTTCATTGGCCAGCATCCTAACTAAACCAATGAACTCTAGGCTCAGTGAGAGATCCTGTCTCAAAAATTAAATGTGGAAAAGGATTGAAGATGACACCTGACCTCAGTCCCTGGCCTCCAATTCACTTCCATAGGTGAGCACACACCTTCACACACACACATATGCCATGCACACACATATGCAAAATAAAATGAAATAGATGAATGAAAGTAAAGCATAATGAAACAGTAAATCTGAAGTCCCTATGGATACTCTGTTGCCCTTAATACATCACTCAGCATTTTCTAAATCTCAAATACAGATAGATGTCACTGTTGACTAAAGCTTTCAGATCCTTCCCAAAAAGCCATGATCTAATAATTATTTATTATTATACTTCAAATGGGAGAAAGCAGCCAAAGCTAGATTTATATCACTTATCTTTTCTTCCCAGGACATTAAAAAGTTCTATCTGATGACCTTTTAATATAAATCTCTGAAATAAATGCTTTTTCCCATTTTCTTTATTTTAAAATTATATTTAATTTTAGTGCTAATATTGTATTAAGATAGACAGTTTCTGGCTCATTTAAAATCATCATCCCAGAACTTCAATTGTAATATTTCATATGTTTCTTTATCCAAAATGGCAGCATAATTAACATGTGCATATACTCTGTTTATATAATTTCTTGAATATGTCATCTCTCATGAATGTATTTCAACAGTAGACAATACCAGCCTCCCATATAACAAATAAATACTCTATAAGTAGACAAGTGCTGACTTGGGTCTGGGATGGACTCAGTAACTAGAGTACTTGTCTAGCATAGATGAAGTCCTATGTACATCCCTAGCACCCCATAAACTGAGTATGAGGTACATGTGTGTAATCTCAACACCCAGGAGGGTAAGCAATAGGTTCAAAGGTTAAGGTCATCCTCGGCTGCTTAGCAAGTTTGAGGCCATCTGAG